AAAGCCCAAGCTAAGAAATTAACAATAAAACTGGTCTCTATAGAAGTAAAGATGAAACTACTATGTCATAGCTCCTTTCATAGTGCATGGCAGCCAGACAATTCTTGCTGAAAATATATTCGTAGTAATAATTTACATATAAAGGGAGGAGGTAACCAACTTCCATGGGGAAAGATATATAGGAAGGTAGGTAGGCAGGCTGGCAGGTAGGTAGGTAGTAGATTATGTATATAGAGAAATCATGTACTAGCAAATGTTAATGTCATCCAGAAACCTTTTCACAAATAAAGTAAGAATCATGTTTGACCAAATATCTATGCATCCCTGGCACAATCAAGTTGATGGGATAAAATTAAATATCAAGAGACTAACAACTGGAGATCTGTCTTAGAAACAAGATGATTGAACAAAAATAGTAGGTACAGTAGCATGAAGGCTGGTGGGAACCAGAGGCTTCCTAATAGGAATGAGTGCTTTCTAAATTCCTTGTGTGCAGAATGATGATTAGATATTGATTCTGTTTAAAAATTTTTTTGAGAGGACTACTAAAGCAAAACTTGTAGAGTATATTACTTTCAAGGGAATTAAGGGAGAAAGGATGAATAAAAATAACTAAAAGTAGAAAAGAAAAAAGAGGAAGAAAGAATATGTAGAAGAATGTAAAAAATAAAAAGAACAAAGATAAGTCTGAATGTGTCCGTCACAATGAATATAAATGGATTAAAGTCATTTCTTAAAAAGTATAGAGTTTTCTAATTGGATTTTAGAAAATCTCAGTAATGCTGTTTTAAGAGTCATACCTCAGACGTGTTGACAATAAATTTTAAGATAAAGAATCAAAACATCAGATGTATGAGGCAGATACTATCCAAAAGAAAAGTGGTGAAGAGTATTACCACTTGATAACATCAAATTTAAGAAAAAATTTTATTAGAGTTATGATTTACTACCAGTAGGTATACTTACCAAGAATTATATGTATAACAKTCAAAATGTAGCCTCCAAATAGAGAAAGCAAGTATTGGGAGAATTATAAGGAGAGACTGACAAATCTAGAATAGGAGCAGATGATTGTTTCATATCTAGTTTGGAAAAATAAGGATGCAGAAGATTTGAATAATACAATTAAAACTCTTTACCTACTAGACATATGAACTTTATATCTCAAAAATAGAAATTTCAATTGTTTAAAAACATGTTTCTAAAAATCTGTTACATAAAAAAACACAGAGGAAGCCAAACACACACTCCGTATTGATATAAATATCACAAATTAGAATGGCAAAAATTTAAATGTTTTTAAGTAATTTGTAGATCAAAGATAAAATAATAATGGAAGCTAAAAATATTTGTAAATAAATGACAAACTTATAGCATGTAGTTAAAGAAAAATTTATAGGAAAAATTAGTCTTAAAAATGTTAAAGAATTGCACATTACTATGAAAATAGTAACAAAAAGATAAGGTACTCAAAGTAGAAAACAGGACATAATGATGAGAAAAGATAATTTAAATGGCATTAAAAGAAATGGCACAGTAGAAAGAATCAACAAAGCCAAATTTTTATTTCCTGAAAATACTAGTAAAATAAATSCACCTTCTAGCAAGACTAATTTTAAAAAAAGTTTATGCTATGTTAGGCCATCTAAAGTAAATTGATTTCAGATCTGGAAGTTAGATTAGGGTGGTGGATGCATGTTTGTAGTTGTTCATATTAGAAGTATTTCACAATGAAAACATGTAATCTTAGGCATTGGGCTTTAGTCCATGAATTAGCTATTGCYTGTCTTCTGTAGCGTGATTTAACAGATACCACTTCTTTTCTCATGGATCTAATTCCAAGTGACTCACATTTTCTTCTTTATATATCCTTGTTAGAAATGAGAAATAGAGTCAGTTGAAGCAGTATCAGGGCAAAAGTGTGAAAGCAATAGAATGAGTACTTCTAGCAAAAGCTAGGGAGAACAGGACTCTTGTCCCTATGTGGTCAAAAAAAAAAAAAAAAACTGAACGCAAATTGACAAACAGCCTAGGGACGGGTACCATGGAAGGCATCCACTCAAAGATTGTTAGTAATTTATTAAGTTACCTTAAATGCTATAATCACTTCCTATAGATGGAGACACTGGAGTTGAGAGTCTGCCTTTACTTTTCTGGTAGATGTTATTGTTCATCCCTTTGGGATGGCAGTTCCTAAAACTCAGAATATGTGAGTAAAAGTATGTTTGTGTTTTCTGGCCAGGTCTGAGACACAGGCATTGTTTTGTGAAGACTGAGTGGAAACAGCCACATGTGGAAGGCAGGCCAGCATTGGGTCTGCAGCAGAGTCCTGGACTTTGTAGTAGAGCTTTCTCTCTTGCTCTAAAAAATGCCAGGTTGAAAGAAGAAAAAAGACTTGTTATTAAATTTAAAATGTATATGTACTCAATATGTAGTTTTTACCATTCCATTTAAAACAACTAACTTTCTTTGGAATAGTATCCTAGTCAGTGAATTCGAACTATTTTTTAAAAATTTATTGGTTATAATTCTTATTCCTGATAAGCACACTGTTTTAAATTTGTATTGTGAGGAAAATTATGTCATCAGTTTCTTTTATCTTTTGATAGTTCCTTTTCTTCCCTCAAAACAAATGACCCAATATTTTTATGTCCTAGGATAATATCCCTAGTCTTTTTTAAAAAGAGCTTTAGTTTAAAGATTTTAGCAATGAATTTGCATATAATTTGGCATGAGGTCAGTAATTTTCCATAAGATAGCACTTCAGAACATGCTGTCTAATCATTAAAATATCAGTAATCTTTTCCTCATATGATGTGAGAGTTTGCAGTGGAGTACCTCAGCCACAGTTACRTATATTTGGAGAAGGGGCTAGTATTTCCTTGAGTCCCTTGAGTAGCCTCAGAGAAGGTAACCAAATGTGTGAACAATTGCTTTGATCTCCTCCAACAGGCCAGGCCTTAGAATTAGGTTGGAGAAATGAGGCATATTTTCCAAGCACATTATTATCTCTTTAATACTATTGCTGCCATAATGTGTTCCTTTGTAAGATGATGATTTGCTGCTTCATATGCTCAATATTTGTACCACTTATCAATGGTAATTTCTTTTAGAAGTAATTTGGTACAGCCTAAGTTTTCAGATGCAAATGCATAAGTGTGATTTGTCTCTCAGTATTACTTAAATTTAACAATATGGTATTGTAGCTCCTTTCTCCAGAGACTCACACTGGAACCCTTTTTGTTGGATTGAATAATATCATCACTTCCTATAGGTGAAAACACGAGTTGTGTCTGCATTACCTGCCTAGGTTGGGGAGTTGGAAGTAGAGATAGGGCTTGGTAGGATGACTGGTGTGGCTCTCTTTGTGATTCGATATGGCCTCTCTTAAGTGCGGAGCAAGCACATGTTTACAAATGATTCTTAAGTACACATGTGTTCCTGTAAGTATGCAGTCATGTAATTAATAGTAGGCAATAACTTAAATAATTTTACTTGATTTTTTTTTGAAGACTCAGTGCTGTGCTTATGTAAGATGTAAATTTCCTTATTTCTTTCCACAGTATTTACTAGCATTTATTGTATCTATTAGTGTTCCTATGTCAGGGAACTTTATAAAGAAAATGTTAGAACAAAAATCAGCTCAGAATTTAAGTGATGGAGATCTGTGATCTGTGTTCATTTTCTTAACTAGATACTTACACAATATGTTTGTGCTCATGTGGGTTAGATCCTAAGCCATTTTGTTAAATATTTGGGAGAGATGCCTCTGTAAGACTTTGTTAGAATTGATTGTTAGCTTGTTTAGAAACTTGTCTTCCTCCCATATAGTAAGAGGAACTCTGGCCACCTGGGCTGCTACATGCTCACTGTGAGCAAGTGACAAGGTCTCTGACCTTGCTTTTCAAAGGATATCACCTCACATAACATTCTTCACTAGATACCTTTCTTAATGCTTCGCTTTACATCCCTGGGAGTCCAGGATAATTTTCATGTGAATGAGGCATATTTTAGGTGGAAAATTTGTGTATGTATAAAATGTATACACACAAGGTGGATATTCTGTAGCCATAGACTCTGTATCCATGAATTCAAGCAATCACCAATGAAAATATGTGAAGTAAAAAATTGCATCTTTGCTGTGCATTTTTTCTTGTCATTATTTCCTAAACAATACAGTAAAACAACTATTTACATAGAATTTACATTGTATTAGATATTATGTGTAATTTAGAAATGAATTTAAAGTATATGGGAGAATGTGCATAGGYTATATGCAAATACTATGTGGTTTTATATAAGGGACTTGAGCATCTGTGGAATTTGGTATCCATCAGGGGATCTTGGAACCAATCCCTGAGAGAATCAAGAAACAACTATATATACATGTATATACACATACCCCCAATTTTTTTTCTTATTTAAAATTCCCTCAACTGTCAACTAGTGTCATCAACGTTACTACTCTGTGGGATGTATGTAACATCTTACAGCAATTGATGAGAATTATTTTGAAAAGGTTTAATATTCAGAGATAGCTGAAATTTATTTTTATTGACACCATTGAAGTCTTTAAGTCTGACCTGCCTTTACTAAGCTTTGCATGTGCATATGCTTGGTTATAAAATACCTACCCATAAAAGGTAAATATTTTCTTTTGTTTTTGTTTCGCTTTTTAATTTTGTTGCTGTTGTTGTTGTTTTTTCCTCAAGTGGGCTTTTCCAAAGCTAATTTATCTTCAAAGAGACATATGCTTTAGGTCTGTACTTGTTCATTTACCTTGGAAAAATTAGGTCATCATCAAATCTGGCGATGTGGCTTGTAAACTTGGCAACATGGTCTAATTAAAAACTTCCCTTATATTAAAAAAAGGGAAAATGATTATAATGAGTAATGTTTTTGTTTTCATGGTTTGTGTGTATATAGGTATTTGTCACTTCTCATGTTGCATTGAAAGTATGTTGACTGTCTGCTAATAGTTCATCTCTTTTCTTYTACAGCTTCCAAGTCTGTTATAAATAGTATGCTACGGGACCCTTCTCAGATTCCAGATGGAGTTCTAGCAAATCAGGTCTATCAGGTATTAATCACAGCTGTCTATTTTCAGTGGCAATGCTGTTATCTGCCTAGCAGAGTAAAGGATTTTAAACCTCATTTAATTACTGTCATCATAAACTATCACTGAGGTCAGGGTGCACCATAAATGGCAATGCAATATTTGTGAGAAGAGCATTTCACTTTTTAATAGCTTGCTTTTATAGTAAATAAAAAGCATGCAATTTTTGTTTTCTGTGATTAAATCTGAACAGCCTTTTGATAGCATTCTTTTTTGGGGATGGGGGAAAGAAAAGTAATTACTGCTTTTAGGATGTTTACTGTAATAGTTTTTGTAGTCTCCCCCTCACTGAATCCCCATCCCACTCCACACACACATACCCCTTCTCTTATTTGTCTGCAGTGCATTGTGAACGACTGCTGTTATGGACCACTGGTGGACTGCATCAAACAGTATCCTTTCCCATAAAATTTTAGGTGCACAATTGACGAGCTTAGACTCAGTGGAAGAGATGTGTCTAGCTTTAACCTGACATAAAGTTCTGCTTCACAAAACACATTTCATACTCTTTTATATTCAATCAGCTGGAGGGTCATTGCAGACCATTCTTTCCTACAGCTTAAGGGAAACCAGATAGGCCCCAGGAAGGTGTCAGTTCAGCAGTTGCACTCACATGCTGATTTCAAACTGCTTGGTTTTCAATGAGTTTAAAGGTACAGAGTCATTAGGCAGGTAACATACTGTCTTGGAATGTAGCTAACCATTCCTGTGAACATTTTTTAAAATATAACAAAGTTCCATTGAAAAGGAGCCAAATTCTGTAGAGTTTACTAAAATAAATTTTGAGCCTTGAGTTAAAGGATGATGTTATTAAAATGTTGCTGGAGACCCTCACATTTTAAAGGGCAGTAGACTCTTATTGCTTAAATGCTGATTACTATCTGAGCTGTCATTTGGATCCCTAATAAACATTTTTAGAGAAACCATGCTAATTTTTCCCTGGGGACTGAATTTAAGGCTGTGAAAACAGATGTCTAGTCATTCTTCATTAAAAACATTGAGATTTCTAAAGAGTTAGTGTTTACTTCTCAAAGTAGGATTGGGTGGATGGTAACCGTTTAGTGAACCAGGACATTACTAATCAATGTTTTGGTAGTCTTGTAGCAACAGTGAGAATTTTGGTAATTTTTGACTAAAAATACTATTTAAATGCTAATAATTTTAATGGAAATATCTCAGTCTATGAGTCTTATACCTCTTACTATAAACATGGCTTTCATTAGATAGATTTTGTTAGCATTGGTGGCTCCATTACCAGTTGTGACTGAGTGATTACTAGTCAGGGGTTTTGTTGGAAGTTCTTGCAAGTTAAATGTGTTCACATGCATCTGTGTGCATGCGTGTGTTTTGGGGTRTGTGTGTGTGTGTGTGTGTTTATATTACTCCTTGTTTCACAAAGGCTTAGAGTCAGTAAAACCATGATAAGAAAATTCTTTCTTTCCTAAATTAAGATTTGAAAGTAATCTTTTTTAACAGGGCCCTCTTTTAAGAATATTTAATACCTAACATATTGCCTCTCATTCATATGTATATTTATATGTGGGGGGGGGAGTGTGTGTATATATGTATACACACACACACACTTGCCTTTTTATTTAACTAAAGTGAAACTATATTTCTATTTTGAGTGTGATATTAATGTAGTGTTAGAAATTGTAGGAGTGCCAACCTCATGTTGCTGTAGTGATAAAGTTTAGCACATTCGTGTAACAACTCACACCGTCTGAGAGTATCTGGGGCTGAATTACATGTTAATTTTAAAGCACATAAAATAGTTAAAAATCAATTTAAAGTTAAGGTTTTAAAAGCATAATGTCTTTTGAAGGATTGCATATTGATTTTAAATATAACTATCTAATTATATATGCATGGACTAAAGTATGAAGTCAACTGCTTTGTAAATGCCAGGAGGCTATTTTTCAGTAATAGTTGAGATGCTTACGGGAAAGTAGATTGCTGTATTGCTGGCGAAGAAAATGGCTTGTGAGGTTATTTACAAGTTTTGCCCCATGGTCACTGCCATACATCAATAATAGGTATTCTTATAGACAAAGTCTAAGTGTTTCTGCTTATGGAACATTATAAATTCTGCTTGGTGTATTTTCCTTATGTTTTTGCTATCATTCACTTTCCTTTTTTTGGCTGTGTTATTGCCAGTAGAAGTTAATGTAGTACGTGACTTCAATTGATAAAGATAATGATGTATGTCTATAAGTTGCATTCACCAACTAGATTATTATTTTGCAGTTCCATTATGCCTGTTGTCAGTAAAATTACTATTTTTATAAGGTTTATTTTCTAGACCTTCCATTTTATATATGTTTATATCAAGCAATGCATAATCAAGAAGTATGTCTTTCCAAAATTTCAAATTGGTGATTGCTTTTACTATTGCAAAATAAAACCAGCTAGGAAATTTATAGAGAAACTGATTTTATTTTTGCATTGAAGTAGTAGCAATTTCATGTAATGTGAATATGCTTGCAAAGATGTCTTCTAGACGGATCAACAGAAGTACTTTATTTCACACTGAATAAGAATTATTAGTTTTCCATGTGAGTGAAAATGCTTTTATTTGTTATTCTTATAAATTGGTAATGTTTACAGTACTTACTTTCAGTAAATTACTTCGTTTTCCAACAGAGAAAGTACATATTTGGTAAAAGGAATAGGTATAAAATCTTTTTATTCCATTATGAAAATGTTATATGTGAACATTTGTGTAAATAGAATAAAGTACCTTGGTCATTGACTAATAAGAYACCATGGAAGGGTTAGTAGYAGTGAGTGTATGTATTGACATTGTGCTTTCTCTTTCCGCCTCCCTTATTTTGGGATGATGTGCCTGCTGTTTTTTTTCTAGCTAGCCATGCCCATCCACACCTTTCCTACCRTATCTCAACTCACCAAGGAAAACATGTGAGAAGGTAACCACTTCAACTTTCCAAAGTGTGACTCCAGACCCCACTATTAGATAGAGGCCTGCATAGAGATGCAAGAAAATATAATGATGCAGGAAGCCTCAAGTGCTGTGGGTTTCATTTCTGTACCATCAGTAACCTCAGTTTCATGATTCAACATTTTAGATGTAAATAATTTACAACAATAAAAGTGGGAGCGCATTTATGTGGAATAGAAGTAAATAATTTAGTTCTAAAATGTGGGATGCCCATGATAACAAGAGACTGTTGAGAGTTATTCATCAAGTGTTTTCAGTGGCCTCTGAAAATGTTTTAGATTTTGTGACTTAAAAATTTGTTCCTTTTATTTCCAATTAGAAATTCAAGAAGCATAGCCATGTCCCAAGGCAGAGGGTAAAACAACAGGAAGAAAAAAGCATAAATGAAGACTTAGGGCTTGCCTTGATGGTGGACATAAATGACCACAGTTTCTGAATTATAAGATTTAAATGATACTTGTATGTGTTGGTAAAAGGCAAGATAATTCTCTAGGAATTATTTTTTACAAGTGAAGTATAACTTTTCTTTGATTTACATTGAAATGAATTCTTACAGCCTATGGTCAGAACAGTAGTCTCTGGTAAACCAAGGTGTGATAGAACCAGATTGATGTAACCAGCAAAACATAGAGTATGACAGTAATGATTCAGAGAATGATTGCCAGATGCTTTCAACTGAAATTAGTACCAGCATAGGCTAAGACTCCTTTTCAGATTTTGTTCACTCTTATCACTTTGGAAAACAGACCAGACTTTCAAGTCCTGCTTCCTGATTTCATTATTTACCAGCCTTCAACAAGTTTCTCAGCCATTTTGAACCTTACCTTTTCTTAAGTGTAAAAATGAGACTAATAATAGCATCTACTCATGTGGTTGTTGTGAAGATTAAATAAAATTATATCTGAAAGTGCTTATCTTTTTTTTTAAAAAAAGAGAGAGAGAGAGAGACAGAGAGAGAGAATTTTTAAATATTTATTTTCTAGTTTTCGGCAGACACAACATCTTTGTTTGTATGTGGTGCGAACCCAGGCCGCACGCATGCCAGGCGAGGGCGCTACCGCTTGAGCCACATCTCCAGCCCTGGAAGTGCTTATCATACATGGTATTTAAGAAATACTAGCAGCTATGAATCTTTGCATAATCTTAATACTTTCTAAGAAGCTATATGGAGCTATAAACTAGCTTTGCAAAGATCTCATTTTCATTCTTTGCCATGTTTTAACTGGCCTTGTGCAGGTTCATTTCTCAGTCTGTTCCCTCATCTATAAAATAAATTGTGAGGATGAAACAACATACACATAAATCACTTACTTCAGTGCCTGCCACCTAGGAAGCACTAAAACAATTTGTATGTTCATGTTTGTATCTATGTATGTACACATATATGATACATACTCACACACACAAATATACACGTGAGAAAAATATTTTTGAAAGCCTCTAAATGCATACTCACCCACAGTCATCTCCTAAAATGTCTACTTCATAGAGTCTCATTAAGTCAGTTGTTTGGCTTCTCTAGTCACAGGGAATCACCAACAATAGAAGGGAAACAAAACAGGCTGCTAAATGCTGGCTTAGTGACACATGTGGATTCTTAGATTTACAGAGCACAGTAAGATTGGAACCATTTTTAGGGAAAACCAGGTTAATATTCTTAACTGCACTAAGTAAGTGCTTAATTAATGTGTTCTAAATTGAAGTGAGGGATAACACAGATTAATGGACATGTTAAATGATTTTCCCTCTTTTTAAAAGAATTTAAAATTATACCCACTTATAAATCTTTGCCAAAATATAAAAACAGAAAAATTCCTTTGGATCATTTAAATGGGGGAGGGGTAAATAAGAAGAAATATCATTCTTCAGAGATGTGGGCTACAGATGGAAATTGTTATAATTACCTCTCTTCTTCATTTCATCTCAAAGTATGTACCTGGTATTAGCATTTTCCTGATGGTATAAATCTGCCTATGTTATCCTCCTTAACTAAAACTTCCCAGTGCCATTGGTCATGAGCATGAAGTACTGCTGAGAGATTTGCTTCTAGAGAAAAACCTGTCCTTCCTAGGTAAGTATTTCTCACATCCTCTCTAGTTTGTAATAGCTCCATGAGTGCTTAAATACATATTTTTAAAATCTTCCACCTGCAGTTATTATGTACTAAAGGAAGAGAGAATGATGATTGATGCTCTGCATGTTATCTTTTATTGATTTAGAACTGAGCAGGAACTCAGTTACCTAATCCCCTATATAAACAGCACATGCACAGGCTTACAATTAATATTTTATAGAATAAGTGGCTGAAAAATGCTTTAATATCTGTTGCAGTATTACTTTTGGTGCCATGAGATATTAACCATAATCTAGGCCTTATGAGAGAAACAAAAGAAATATTGTCTATAAAATACTTTATATATTAAAAAGAACCGTTAGAGAAATTCATGTTAGGTATGAGTGTGTGTCATGTATGGAATAGGGTAGTCCCTTTTATTTGAAAGCAGAATATTAAGCTTTTATTATTTTATGTCAAACATTGTCATCATAGATTTAGTATGATTTTCTAAAATCTTACATGTATGCATGTGTTTGTGTGTCGGTATAGAAATATTATTACAGATTGTTATTTTTTTCAATATCTTTTAAGCAATAAAAAATTAAGCCTTAAAGGACATAATGTAATCACTGATTATGGAAACCATAAGCACCCTAGAATTAATTAATTCCTCTTTTCCTTTCTAAATGTGGTAATTTAAATTCTCCATTTTAAATGCAAAGGATCTATACAAATCATATTATTATAGAAATTTATTCTATATAAACCTGTGTAAATATTGAAGCATCTTCATAATGTAGTTTTTAGGATCAAATAATGAAGAACAACTGGATTACTTAATTTTTGTTCTGAAGTGGACAATACATTGTGTGCCTAGGAAAGTCAAATGCATGGTCTTAGGTCAGATTAGGAAAGGATGTTTAGTATAATCCTTCAGTAAATTTACTGTAAATCTTACTGTTTAGTATTCTTATTAATAAACTGGAGAATAGACTTGAAATTGTTATAGAATTGTTGTAAGTTGAAATTGAGAGATATCATAAATATTCTCTAGTTGGGGTTAAAGAAAGTTGATTAGGAAAGTGGTATCTCTGCTTACTACATTAAATTTCATTATGTATAAGCAACAATTTTTTTTTCTTTGTGTAAGAAAGGCAATTGTATCRGTTGACCTATGGAAATAGAGTAAGTTGGAAAGAAATTATCTTTTAAAAACRTAACAAAAAATAAAATGGCTCTGAACTAGTTGTAATGGTTGCCCATGACATATCATAAGATTATTTCAGAACTATAGAATTCTGATAGTATTATAAAATGTCTGACCACATTGATCATTAGGTAGTGGCTAGTATGGACATGGCCAAATCTAGTGTTTTGTTTTAAGCCACTAACTAAGCAGTCATATTTCACACAGATTTTTTTAATCTTCATGTTTTAACCATAAATGTTAGCTTACTACTACATTACAGCATTTAATATGTATAGAATAAATTAATATTGTATGCTGATGAAAAAGCACTTTAAAATAGAACTGAGATTGCATGGAGTTACTGAGCAAAGCAACCAAGGTTGCTTTGGTGATATTCTCTTGGTGTCACTTATTTGCCTATGGCCAGTCAAGCCCTCAGCCTCATTTCTTTATTTAGCCTGACTTCTGTGCTCTTGAGAATCAGCAGACTCCACCTAGGAGAAAGAGCAAAGGGCTTAGTCGTGGCCCTAATTTAGTTCTAGTTTCTCAACTTACCTGAATTTGGTGTGTTAGCTTGGATTCACCATGGCTGACGGGCAGTATGAAAGTATGGTGGTCAAAGAGTTATTGCTATGTGCATATAAGTTCAGGAAGGACTCCTAGAGTTGAAATTGATGGGTCTCATGCAGTCTTCAGTGCTGTGGGATAATTATTTTATGGAAGCATATCCAAAATGGTACTTAATTGATCTTTAAGAATAAATGGTTATAGTTTAGCCAACATGAAACCTTAGTGCAATTTTGAAGTGTTTCCTCATCAGCTTACAAAATAGTTATTAATTTATTCTGTGCATCTTAAGTAAGTATTTTAATATAGTACTGAACTAACAAATGCTCATTTATGGTTAAAAGATGAAAATTCAAAGCCTCGAGTGAAATATTGGTACAAAATTGTTTTTCTTTTACCTTCTAAATACCCCTTCCCAATGATTAATTTCTTTTAAATACTGTGTCAGGTAAATTTAAATACATTATCATTTTAAATTCAGCTAATATTCTTTCTTGTTTACATGTATATACCTTGAATTTTGTTTCAGAGATGCTGCAAATATTGCCAGTTTTATTTTGATTCTTTGACAAGCAAAAGTAAAATCGATCTCCCTCTCTCTGTTGACTTCTAACTCCTTCCACTTTCAAAAGATAAATATTTTTATATGTTAATCCTTTTTAATTTAAGGATTATTACTTTGCCTAAACCCTAAATTTTCCAGCCATTATATTTTTTCAAACCTCTTTTGACAATAGAAGGGGAAAAGGAAAAAAAAAAATCACTTTTTTTTAAGTCTTACTGCTTTCTGGAGTTTCCTTGTTTCATGGTCCTGTGGTCAGGAGTTGCTATGGCACAAACCTTAACCAGACACCTAGAAAAGACAGTATCCTGATCATTGAAAATTTCTGTATATTCATGTGGATTTATTCTATCTTATAAAGGTATCCATTTAATACTTAGATAAATAGGTATATTGTACTAAATTCAAAGTTGAATTAAAGTCTTTAATTTTTCCAACTAAGAACTATTCCCCCCCCCCACACACACACACACACAAACACTCTCTGCAAATAAGTCACTGAACTGGGCACACTATTTTAGGCACTAGACACAAGTCAGATAAAGTTCTGGCTTTCTCAGAGGTTTGATCTAGTAAGGAAACAAGCTATCAATAAATGAATACAGATAATTTCTTGAAGTTTCTGAAAGTCCTCATAGTTCTTTTATTCATTGTTTATTCTTTTCAACTAACATTTTTTGAATGTGCTGTCTACATGCAAGGAACTATACGAGTTAATATGAAGATGGTTTTTGTTAAGTACCCTATATCCCAGATGTTCACAGCTGTGCAAGCTCTCACCATTTCTGTCCCAGTGAGAGTGCAATTCCTGTCTGGTGCAATTCACTTAGCTGTTGTTCACCTGATTTTCTTCATAATGAAAGTAAATGCACTTATGACTTTTGTCAGACTACTTTTATTAAACCTTAGAAAGAAAGAGTAGATATTAAAAATCACTAGCTACATTTTGTAAGTGAAGAAAATTTGCTGCCGCATTAAATATATTTACTAAAATGGTTATAAAATTTTGCATATTCAGTTGTTCTCTTATCAGGATCTTCCTGCCACCATTTACTTCCACGATGGCACATTGAACTTTTTACCTTGATCCTCTAGCATTGAGCTAACCTATCTCTTAAGTATTTGCTATGAGTGGATACTACTAAGGATTTAAAAAAAATTAACAGTTGACTCAAACATGGAAATTTTCAGGAAAGTTTAAGATGAGTTTCAGTATATGTCAGTAGTTCTCTCGAGGATCATTTAATTTAGAATTAACACTTATTGGTCAGCATTTAAGGTCTCAGAAGATGTCAAGAGCTTTAGATGCACAAAGAACACTTTTTAAACTTTAAATTGACCAATATGCATTGTGATCATCCTTATCACTTCTGCTAAGGAGCCACTCCATTTCTAATGAAAAAAATAGAGAATATATTTTATCTACTGAGGGAGATATTTTAATTTGTATCTTTCCAATGATTAATTAACACTTTGCTGTGTTGTGTTCGTTCTTTAGTTTTCTCTTCCCTTTGTTTGGTTTGGCTTGGTTTTCACTGAGTTTTTTTAAGAAAGTTGGACAAAAAGGGAAAGGAGGAAAGGACAATAGTGTCAATGATAAGAGGATGAAACTGTTCACACTGTTGGAAAAATATGAAAGCACTTACACCAAAGAGGGAAGATAAACCACTCATCCTCCATGGGTTGGCATTCCTCCAGGTCAGAGGGACTTTTATTAATGACTTCTACAGCCACTGTCTGCTGCAAATTCTTGTTAAGTTTGGCTTAATAAGGATGACTCGAGAGATATTTCCAGTSAATGTTGTCCTGTTAGTAGACACTAACAATTATTTTTTGAGTGACACCTGAGAGGCCTTGGCTTTATCCCTGCACTACACCCCCCACCATGTTTGGACGAAATAGCGTTTTGACATAGGTGCTTTTCTAACATTCATGTATTACTCTGTGGGACTCCAAGAGGGTATAATCTGTAAAGCCAAATAGGCTTAGTGGAGAATGTCCCTTGCTGTAAGAAATTAGGATCTTTGTTTCTAAGAGTTCATCTGTCCCGTTGCTTTATTCCCTACTACCTAAAACAACAGTGCTCTGTTGGGAAAGTGATTATTATGTGACAAATGGGATTACATTCTTCAGTTGAAGAACAGCAACAGGAGCAAATGAGATTTAGGATACTAAGGTTGTTTACATGCAGATGTTAGCAGCATAGAATAAGAGGCTGGAAAGAAAACATTTGATTATATAAGTTGAGGGGAACTGAGATAGTTGGGTATTTCATAAGGAGTCAGTCGTTTAAATTTTTATCTATCAGAAGATTAAAAATAAGATGTGGGTTTTTTTTKTTTTTTTTTTTTTAAAGAGAGAGTGAGAGAAGAAAGAGAGACAGAGAGAGAGAATTTTTAATATTTATTTTTTAGTTCTCGGCGTACACAATATCTTTGTTTGTATGTGGTGCTGAGGATCGAACCTGGGCCGCACGCATGCCAGGCGAGTGCGCTACCGCTTGAGCCACATCCCCAGCCCAAGATGTGGTTTTTAGAATAACATCCTGTTGTTGTTAGAATACATGCAGTTGTTAATAAGAACATGCAATAGGGGCACAGATATGGGGAATTTGGATGTTGTTCCCACCTGAAGAAATTTTCTTGGTGAGAGACTCTCTTACTTATTTTCCTTATCAGTTTCACTTGTGATTGCCTC